TTCTATTGAAGTAGAACGTCAAACTAAGTACGATCCTTGTAGGGGGTAGTTTCTTTCCCCTTACATTTTTTAAGACATTCTATAGTGAACTGCTAAGAGAGAGAGAGAGATCACTGGTCTTCTTATGTTTTTACAAAATAAAATCCTGGCAACGTTTAACTTCATTTAATCTTGTAAATCCATACTAAAAACTTATTACATCACAACACCAAACTATATTTAAAATCTGTTACTTAAGAAAATTAACCATGCCAGAGTTTATAATAAAAGTTTTATAGCATAACAAAAATCTGTGTCTGGCTGAATGGCAACGTGCCTATGCCAAAAAAAAACCATCAATCTCACTCCAAAAGTGTTATCAAAATGATCCCACATTATGTATTTACTAATAATTTTTAAACAAACATATTCTGTGTTGAATTTAACATGAAGTGAGGTTAAGTAGAAAGTACCTACTTCATCGTAAATAACCGATATAGTAAAAAAAATTGTAGAAACTTTATAACTTTGAACAGTTTCAATTTAGCGTTAGTTTGAATATTTACAAAAATATTATAGCCACTACTTACCTGTATGCTAGCACGATACAATAATGGCAAAAGTTTAATTATTTCGGTTGAAGATAGACGATCGCGCGGATGTCGGCGGATTATAAATGGGGGAGATTTAAAGTATTTATTAAAGTCCCGAAAATAAATTCAGTTTCATATCATTTGGCGTTACTTCCAGTTAGAATCCCGTAATTGAGTTATTAGATTATTACAAAGTTATAACGTTTTTGTTTCATCTTTTTCTATATAATATTTAAATATGTAATAAGAACTTTAATCCTGTAACTAAGTAGTTAAGGTAAAATAATAAATTATTGTTAGTTTAAATCCATTATATACTCAAATTCGAGTCTGTCTTGTTAGTGTTTCATGATATAAAAATAAAAATAAACACCGAACCTCATTATTTTTTCAAGTACTTTTAGAATATTCTGAGTTGTATCTTCCAGAGATTTACAGTTTTATATTTAATAAACTTTTTTAGCCTATAGACAGTCATGATAATTTCAATACATTCCATTGTATGATAAAAAAGTAAAAACAAGTCTCTCATTTGTTCGTTTTAAAAGATTATAGGTACTCGTTAAATAAATCAAGAGATCGGTTTGTTATAAAAAAACTCTTCTTAAATCCTGATTTGTAACATGGTCAAAGCAAATACAAACTGATTTTCAAACAGCCCATGCTTTGCTCCTTTTTCATGTCAGTTCTCTAATTCTGTAAGTGACGTTTTATTGAATTTTTCACAAGAACGGGTAAATTCTTTAGGAATGCTAGCAGAATTGGAAATAGATGGTCGTTTGTTAACCGAGTATTTAAAGTTGAATTACTTTGGATGTTTGGAAACTTTACCCTTAATACTTAAATAATAAAATTTTAAACTCATGTCCAACCTATTTATTTTAAAAGTTTTCCAGTTATACGTTTAAACGAGGATACTTCATGTACTATTCATATTTGGTTTTTATATGAAGAGGTGTTTGTAATTATCTAAGTATATTGTTATGTAATGTAATAAGACCAATATTAGTTTTATTTTTTTAATAGAGTAGATAGCAAAGATTTTATTAGGTATTTAAATTTCAGTATTTGTTTTAATTTTGCTCTATTTATATTGGTGTCAGTTCATGTTGATGTTAATTTATATCATATGCGCGTTATATCAACAGGTTAGTGCGCAACACATCCGCGCATATCAGTCCGTTTTACAATAGAATAATTGAATAATTCAAATATATTTCGCTTAATAACAAAAGTAATACATGGTAAGTATTGTTTTAAAATTATATATTTATATAAATACTACAATTATTTGAAAAACATGAATTGATCAATTAATTGTACAATGTAAATTTAACTTTGGGATTGTCACCCGTTCGAACCGATACAATAACAAAACTGAACAAAATAATATGGTTATGGTTGCTGAATAGAACGTGGTAAGTACTTTTATTTAATTTTAATTTTGGTTAAACATGTTAAATTTAAAATTAAGCAAAGATATCTTGATATTTTAACATGTGTTTAGCAGGTCCTGTTCGTAATAAATTCATAATATCTAATTGTAATAGCGTTGTTTGTATAAAGGTAAATAGTACAATTTACATTTTTTTATTTCCTTCCGATATTAAGCAAGGAACTAAATAATGCCGCATAAACTTCATCATTCCACTTGCGAAAAACCATTTATAGGTTACAAGACTGTAAATTGGCTTTACCTTTGGTACCTACCCTTTGAAAGCTAAATTAACAGTAAAGAGTAATAGTAAAGTAATATTGTTATCATACCGTCAAACAAATTACCAGTGAAAAGAAAGTTACATTCGATTAAAATTTCATCCAATGAAATATAATTATTACCTAAAAAACAATAATTAGATCTTGGATTTTTAAATCAAACCAGTGAATGGTTAGCCAAAGAAGAAAAAACTATTTTATAATTAGAGAACAGCAAAGTAAAATTTGCGAATCAAAGAAGGACCTCAAAGCTTGATCCCGCAGACATCTGTTTTTTTTTAAGTACTAAAAGTACTACATCTCATTAAAAAAGATGTAGAGACTACCATTATTAATTATAAAATATTATAATGAAAGTATAAAACTGTGACAATGTCTAAAAGAAAAAAGAGATTCAAAATTATATGAAGTTAAAATACTACTTTGAATTTTTTCTGTTTCAGATTATATGGATGGTTCTCCTTCATGTGTTTTGTTACCTACCCAAGTTTACAAAAAGTTTTAGTTGTTTTATTAAAATATTGTTTATTTAGAAAATTTATTATAAATTAGTTTTAATGATATAATAGGTAATACAATTATTTAATGTTACATTATTTTACCCTTCCTAAAATTGTGGGTCATAAAATTTTACATTTTGATTGGCATTTTGTTACATCTTGCACCTTGTCTGTGTTGTAAAAAATGCCAATGAAAATGCAAAATTTTAGTTATACTAATTAAAATAGAGCTACAAATAAAATCCCGCTAATTTTTAAATAAAATAAAATATGCAGGTATCTATATTACCGACTGAGAAATAGTTGGACAAATCCCTCCCATTTGGCGCTAATAGCAAACATGTTGCCACATTTATACAAAGAAACGGTAACTCTTAATTATCCTTCCTCCATGTTAATTTAGTTGTCTTATAATGGACTTTTCCCGTTATTGATGATCTCTATTACTCGGCAGCAATTTCTTCTTCCTCTTAAATTCTGAGTTCTAATTACGCATCGGCAAATGTCATTTTAGTTTTGCGTTTAATAGTATTGAAAAGGTAACAAAAGGTACTTTAAGGAGTATTATTTTCGAAAGGCAAAGTTACAAATATATCGTACAGTTTCACCTTGTAGAATAGTTTGCTGCAGTTTCTGCAGCAATAATAGAGCTCTCGACGAAGACGTCTTAAAACCAAAGGTGCGAAAACGCACCATTATGCCAAGATTTTTTTTATTCGCAATACCTTTTTTTTTTCTTTACAAAAATATTTTCTAAATATCCTACATTTTCAATCCTTCGACACGCTGTCTTTAAGGGCTACACTCAAAAATTTCAGTTGTCTTCATAATTTTTTATTTTTTTTAATAGTAGGTCTTAGTTTGTAAGTTCAACAACCACTTCCTTTTTTTTGGGAGCATCACTAAATAACTAAAGATGTGTCTCAAGTCTCTTTTCTCTATGTGTTTCATTAATTTATTATTATTTTTTTTTAATAAGGACTCAAAAACTAAAGTAGTAAATATTCTGTAATGTGATGTTATTATTTTATGTTTATAGTGATTTAAGCTCTACGTTTTAGGGAAGTGGGTCAGGTTATTAAACAACTCATATGACTTTGAAAGAGAATATTGGACGCCACTATATTTAAAACTTTCTAAACTTGACAATCGATCATTGATGAAAATATGAAAAATCAATGATCTTTATGATATATAATTAAATAAGGAAGCGACAAATTCTAATTCAGAGAGACCTTAATTATTTAAATTTAAATGATTTATTGAGACTTATCTGAAAGACAGGAGGTAGTGAATTAGGAGTGACTTGTAGAGGCCTTCTTATGAATTAAACTTCCTTAAGATTTCTTAAGACATAAGATTTTCAGACTTCTTTTAAGATTTTCAGACTTCTATAAGATTTTCGGATATTTAGATTTCAGATTTCAGACTTCAGACTTCAGATTTCAGACTTCAGACTTCAGATTTCAGATTTCAGACTTCAGACTTCAGATTTCAGACTTCAGATTTCAGACTTCAGATTTCAGACTTCAGATTTCAGACTTCAGATTTCAGACTTTAGATTTCAGACTTCAGATTTCAGACTTCAGATTTCAGACTTCAGATTTCAGACTTCAGATTTCAGACTTCAGATTTCAGACTTCAGATTTCAGACTTCAGATTTCAGACTTCAGATTTCAGACTTCAGATTTCAGACTTCAGATTTCAGACTTCAGATTTCAGACTTCAGATTTCAGACTTCAGATTTCAGACTTCAGATTTCAGACTTTAGATTTCAGACTTCAGATTTCAGACTTCAGATTTCAGACTTCAGATTTCAGACTTCAGATTTCAGACTTCAGATTTCAGACTTCAGATTTCAGACTTCAGATTTCAGACTTCAGATTTCAGACTTCAGATTTCAGACTTCAGATTTCAGACTTCAGATTTCAGACTTCAGATTTCAGACTTCAGATTTCAGACTTCAGACTTCAGATTTCAGATTTCAGACTTCAGATTTCAGACTTCAGATTTCAGACTACAGATTTCAGACTTCAGATTTAAGACTTCAGATTTCAGACTTCAGATTTCAGACTTCAGATTTCAGACTTCAGATTTCAGACTTCAGATTTCAGACTTAAGATTTCAGATTTCAGACTTCAGATTTCAGACTTCAGATTTCAGATTTCAGATTTCAGACTTCAGATTTCAGACTTAAGATTTCAGATTTCAGACTTCAGATTTCAGACTTCAGATTTCAGATTTCAGACTTCAGATTTCAGACTTCAGATTTCAGACTTCAGATTTCAGATTTCAGATTTCAGATTTCAGACTTCAGATTTCAGATTTCAGATTTCAGATTTCAGATTTCAGATTTCAGATTTCAGATTTCAGATTTCAGATTTCAGATTTCAGATTTCAGATTTCAGATTTCAGATTTCAGATTTCAGACTTCAGATTTCAGACTTCAGATTTCAGACTTCAGATTTCAGACTTCAGACTTCAGACTTCAGATTTCAGACTTCAGATTTCAGACTTCAGACTTCAGACTTCAGACTTCAGACTTCAGACTTCAGACTTCAGACTTCAGACTTCAGACTTCAGACTTCAGACTTCAGACTTCAGACTTCAGACTTCAGACTTCAGACTTCAGACTTCAGACTTCAGACTTCAGACTTCAGACTTCAGACTTCAGACTTCAGACTTCAGACTTCAGACTTCAGACTTCAGACTTCAGACTTCAGACTTCAGATTTCAGACTTCAGATTTCAGACTTCAGATTTCAGATTTCAGACTTCAGATTTCAGACTTCAGACTTCAGATTTCAGACTTCAGACTTCAGATTTCAGACTTCAGATTTCAGACTTCAGATTTCAGACTTCAGATTTCAGACTTCAGATTTCAGACTTCAGATTTCAGACTTCAGATTTCAGACTTCAGACTTCAGATTTCAGACTTCAGATTTCAGACTTCAGATTTCAGACTTCAGATTTCAGACTTCAGATTTCAGACTTCAGATTTCTTTAAAATTTTCAGATATTCAGATTTCCAGACTTTCAGACTTCCAGACTTTCAGACTTCCAGACTTCCAGACTTCCAGATTTTAGATATTCATATTTCATATTTCAGATTTTAGATATTCAGATTTCAGATTTTAGATATTCAGATTTCAGACCATCTATATACAGCAAGGCTACAAGGAAATAGGTAAAAATATAAATAAAGGAATTAGGGAGAACAGATAAGATGTCTTTACTATCAAAAGCATAATTTAAATTATTAACTGAAAGGCTCCACAGAGACCAAATTTAATAGGTAAAGAAAAAGTCTTATTTAACATATATAAATATAGTAAAGCATATTATCTATTTCAAATAAAATAATATTAAAACCATACAAAACGTTTTATCAAGTGTTATCCAATATGTTGAGGTTTTGAGGTTATGTTTTACATTTGACATTTTAATAAAGAAATTCTTGTACTAAATATATACTTTCAACAAAATATCGGTAGAAAACTTACCTTTTTATAATCAGATGGCCATTAAAATAATTTAAGGTAATTAGAACATCGGATGTCCAAGATAATAGATAATTAAAAATTAATAATTCAACCTGCTCGATACAGAAGTAAATCGAAAATGACAACCGAGTTTTGACACAAGGCATAAACGACAGTTAACGTTTGTGTAGAGATGTTAGTTTTAAAATAACGAGAACGGGTCTGGGTCAAATAACGAAACCGGTTCCAACCGTTACAAGTTTAAGTGTGATTATTTTATTAATAAAACACTTTTGTGGTCAAATTAATTAAAACTTGATTTTTTTAACCTATTTGTATGCCAATTTGTTATAAAAATACAAAAAAAATTTGGGTAGTCAAATCTCGTGTTTGCAAGTAATGGTTCGATAACGAACCTTTGGCGAAATTCGACTTCGGTGCCTGTCTGGTCAGAAATTTCAAAGTGACGCACACATGACTCCCGTTTGATGGGATATTTCTATATTATGTGTGTTAGAAAGTCGGGTATTTAGTTTTGTTATGATATAGAGCTGTGAGGTAGTGTAGTGTTATAGAAAATATTTCTATTTGGCAAAATAACCCTAAAAGGGCTCTAACTTTATTGGAATTAAAAGGCGAATTGGAGTATATTAGTGATAATGATGATGGGGTCCCAGAAATAGCAATAATACCTCCGGCCTCCGACGAATTGGCGGATGAAGGAATGATTGATGATGATGTTATTATAGGTAACCTATTCACTATTCTATAGTTTTATATTATTTATTACGCGACATTGTAGGTGACAATGAGATTCGTGATACCGTCCTTCTGGAACCTTCCAGAAGTAAATCTGAAGTTGCCGGCTCTGTTGAGATTCCTAGAAAGGATTCATTCGACGTCGTACCAACAACAAGCAAATCAAACAAAAAACGTAAAGTATGTAGTGCGGCAACTCCAAAATGGTTTACGAAAGCTGATCCAACATTTACATCTGCACTACAATCACATAAAATTGAAAAAGGGATACAAATTGAGAAATGTGTCGCCGGAAAAACCCCTTACGAATGTTTCCAGTTCTTCTTTGATGATGAAGTTTGTAACGGTTAAAACCGTTTTCGTTATTTGGACCCAAACATTGTAACGATCGGAACCGTTTTCGTTATTTTGAAACCAACATCTCTACACAAACGTCATTTGTCGTTTATGCCTTGTGTCAAAACTCGGGTTGTCATTTCGATTTACCTCTGTCACCAAGCAAGTTGAATTATTAAATTTTAATTATCTTTTATCTAGTACATCTTTATTATTTTTAATGACCGTCTGATTTTATAATGGTAAGTTTCCTACCGATATTTTGTTGAAAATATATATTTAGTGCAAAAATTTCTTTATTAAAATGTCAAATTTGAAACATAGCCTCACACATTGAATCACACAAGAAATCTCATGTTTTATATTTCATATATTATTTTGTTTAAAATAGATAATATGCTTTACTATATTTAAATGTGTTTAATGAGACTTTTTTTTTTCTATTAAATTTGGGCTCTGTGAAGCTATTCAAATAATAGTTTAAATGTTCATTTAATAGTAAAAAGTATTATCTGTTTCCTATATACTCTTCCTGACTCCTTTCTTTATATTTTTACCTTTTTCCTTGTAGCCTGGCTGTATATAGATGGTCCTATAGAAGTTGTATATAGATGGTTTCAGTAGAAGTTCAGTAGAAGTTATATCGACAGTTTTATAGAAGTTTATTGAAAAAGATTGTTAGGAAGAACGTTCCAGCTGCATGTTTAGAAATATTGAAACTTAGAAGTTTGGTTCCAGCTACAGAGGTTGTTTCAAGTATTTCAAGTGGTTTAGTTCAAGCCATTCAAAGAAGTGTACGAGATTTAACTTTACCTAAGAAGAATTATCAGTTGGTGATATCCAAGACTCTCATATGAATCCCCTGTACCTGCTACCTGTTATACCACAGATAAGTTATAATAAATCATTTTAATTTAAATAATTAAGTCTCTGTGAATTAGAATTTGTCGCTACCTTATTTAATTATAATATCATAAAGGTTAGTGATTTTCTATATTTTCATCATTAATCGCTTGTCGAGTTTAGAAAGTTTAAATATAGTGGTGTCAACATTCTTTTTCAAAGTGATACGAGTTGTTTAATAATCTGACCCACTCCCCAAATAATAAGAGCTTAAAACACTATAAAAATAGATAAAATAACAAGATTATATAACAAGTTTACAACTTTATAATTAATTTTACCATAAAACGTATCCACAATAATAACTGTCACGATTTTTATTTGACAAATGCATCACTAAAAAGTTTTTAGGAATATTTATTTTTACTGGATATCACACCTTGCCACAAATGGATATGTACTGGAGAAAGGACCAAGATAAGAACGTGACATTCATTAAGAACTGCATGAGTAGAAATACATTTCGGCGTATCAAAAAGTATATACACGTAAGTGATAATACGGTGTTAGAAAAAAATGATAAATTTGCAAAACTTCGCCCTTTTTTTCGACATAATGAATCGAAAATTCCTGCAATTTCGTGTTTTTGCATATAATTTATCCATAGATGAAGAAATGGTACCCTATTTTGGAAGGCACTCCGCAAAAATGTTAATTAAGAGAAAACCCATGCGTTTTAAGTATAAGTTATGGTACCTCTGTTCATCTGATGGATGTCTATTTCAGTTTATCCCCTACGATGGTGCAAGCACAACAAAATCAGATTAAGGCTTGGGTGCTGATGTAGGGTTAAAATTACTAAGTGTTATAGAAACTCCCTCTAACCACAGGGTATTTTTCGATAACTTTTTTTCATCTTATAAACGTTCACAGTATTGAAAGAAAAGGGAATTTTTGCAACTGGCACAGTGCGAGAAAACAGGATTGAAAAGTGTCCACTGGAAGTAACTAAAATTATTTCTAAAAAAGATAGAGGGTCTTTCGACTTCATTTTTGACAAAGAAGATTAAGTGTCTGTAGATAGATGGAATGACAACTCAGGCATAACAGTAATCTCCAATAACTGTCGTCCTGTCCATCCCTTAGGCTTCGCAAAGAGGTACGACCACAAGCAGCGCACAGAAGTAAATATACCAATGCCGAATGTTATCCAAGAATATAATAAATGTATGGGCGGCGTTGACTTACATGACAACGGCATAGCAAATTACAGGATTGCTGTACGAGGAAAGAAATGGTGAGGCCACTTTTTAAAAATGTAATTGATAGCTCTATTGTAAATGACTGGAAAGTTTACAGATTGGCAAATAAAAGCTCCATTTCCCAAATCGAGGTTGGTCGTATATTGTTGTTTGCCAAATGAAATCGGAAGATAAACAACTAGAAGAAACAGAACAGTATGAGAGTGAAGAAGATGAAAAGTCAATTGTACCGTTGACAGTAAATATGGGTAGGCCGTCCAAAAATAGTTTACCAAATGAAGTCCGAAAAAATAAGATAGGTCATTTATTAATAAAGCATGCAAAAAATGCAAGAAGAAGGTTCAGGCAGTGTTTTAACCATACCGTTTTTATTTGTCAAAAATGCCAGGTCCATTTACACTCTAACTATTTTGAGACTTTTCACAAAAAATTAATTCTTGTACTCCAATTTTTATATATCAGTTCCTCCAAAGGTTCTAAACGAAGCATTTTTTTGTTGTGACACTTGTCAATACCAAAGTGTATAACAACTTTTTTACGAATGTTTGTTTATATATTACTGTAGTATTTCTTTGCTTGGTGGTTAATGGATTAAGAAAGCCTATTAGAAGAGCAAGCTTAAAACTTTCAAATAATATTTAGAGCAGAAGTTAATATAAAAAAGTTTGCTGCTGTAACAACCAGGAATATCTAAAATACCACCGCATGTCACCAAATGTAACAACCAGAAATTCTTAAGATCATAGTTTGTCACCAAATAATATATAATAACCAAGAAGCCTAAGGACCATTTGTAACTACTGATAGGTCTTTAGCCACTGTTGCTAATGTACTATTAATGAATTAAGGCAGCACTGTCACCAGCGAAGGGGTCCTGGGGTCTAGAAGAAACATCCATTCACCAGTGGCAAATATAAATAATAAAATAATTAAATAAAAAAAATATATTTCTTAATAGCATAGTCGAGCGGTTTTTGGTAACTAGTTTTATACTCTCCTACTCCTAAGGGTGGAAACGCCGAGGTTTTTCAAATGATCGAAATATTTTATAATTCATTTTGGAAAGTAGAGAAAAAATTACAAATAATTATGAAAATAGTATCAAATGTATATTTACAATAAGTATAAAGTGGTTAATAGTCTCAAGAACAAATGAATAAAATTATATTTAGGAAATGAAGCAATACTTGATAATATATCCAAATTTTTAATGAAAAAAAACATACGATTTATAGTAATTAGATAACCTTCCCATTGAATAATATAGTGTGGATATATTAACAACTAAAAATAGTACTAGAAACTTTAGCTGTATAATAATATAA